AGCTTGGGGTTTTATGTATAAAAACCCCAAGCTAATTGAATTGAAACTTAAAGATCAGCTTTTCTTGTGTATAACCCAGCAGGCAAGGTGGGCAAGCCAATCTCTTGCCACTTCAGGCATCATGTCCTATAGCAGTGTTGTACAGATTTAAGTCCTGAGTAGCAGCGGAGTAGTGTGGCCCAGTTACACACCATATTTTCCCTGGCACATGCACTGTCTTTAATTCGCAGAAAACCTTTCTTTTTCCTCTTATTTGTGCATTTTGTTTGGCTATTTTTTGGGTTTGTTTGGTTTTTTTTTTAATAAATTATTCATAAGACTTCAGGTCTATTCCCTAATATTCATGAGCCATAGCCAGGTGTTACAGGCCTCCTGTGTCCATGTCTGTACTGATCCACTACCCTGACTTCTACGGTGTACTCCTATAATTGACTGTGAGGGAGGAGGTGCTCCTTCCACTTGCTTTTTTGAGGCAGGCACAAAAATACTTGTGCACTTGGTACATTTTTGTATCTTCCTTCTGCTTGTGAAAGGCAGCTCTCCATCTGTGTCCTGGCAGGATTCAAGCAGGTAGTAGGTTAATATGTGTTCTCAGTGCTAGTGAGGAGCCCTGTCATGCATGCTTGGGTTTTTTTAATGCATGTGGAGACCTTAAAGGAGGCTTGCGTGCTTAGGAGGATGTTGCCAAGTGATTTACTGGGTGCAAGAATTCCCAGTAGCAATTAAAGTGAAACAGAAAAAGATGCTTCTACCCTGATTTTTTTTAGAAAAGAGCATCTAGTTCAATTGTAACAGCTATTTTAAATTAGGAGGAAAATACCGTGCTCTCTGGAAGACTCAGCCCATATTCCCTGCATAGGATGTGCTGCTGGATATCGTCCCTTTCCAGGCACATGGTCCGTTTGTTAGTGGTGCCACTGAGGAAGCTGAGAGCAATGAGTTGAGGTAGCTTTTTTCACCACTGCTGGGAAGCTTTGAGACAACTCTGGGTCCTTGACCTGCCCAGGAACCAGGGGACAGTCAACCCAGCTAAAAATAGAAACAAACAGAAAAACCTTTTTGATCCAAGTTCCTCTGTCCCAGGGTAAACGCCTTGTAGGAGAAGTCAGCGAAGAGTGTCTGCTCGTGTGTGTAGTGATTTGCAGGTGCTGATGGGATTAAAATCTTCGCTACTTTAGAAGAGATCTAGGTTTCCAGTTTGATTTGGCGTCAGATTATTGACTGCTCATGGCAAGATGTTTGCCTCCTGTTTGCATGGGGGGCTGCAAACACCAGTGGTTGTAACGTTATTTATGTCATTTATGTCATTTGTTTGCTTTTATTCTGCCCTCACCGATGTGCATCCTGGCTGTCAGCGTAAAAAGAAATCCAACTGGACGTGACAGTACTTGGGGTTATTTGAGGAATTATTGACCGCTCACGGCGAGATGTTTGCCTCCTGTTTGTTACACAGGGGGCTGCAAACACCAGTGGTTGTAACATTATTTATGTCATTTATGTCATTTGTTTGCTTTTATTCTGCCCTCACCAATGTGCATCCTGGCTGTCAGCGTAAAAAGAAATCCAACTGGACGTGACAGTACTTGGGGTTATTTGAGGAAGGCTGTGCAGGGGTGAAAAGACTTTTCTGTGCATTCAGGTCAGGTGGAGGTTTGGATAGAGAAAAAGGAATGCTCAGAGTGAACAGTTAGACCTTTCTGCTTGTGTCCTTTTATGATTCATTTGGTTCATGAAAGGTTTGGGTGCCTTTGAAGTGCCTGCAGCGTGAGGGGAGCTCGCTTTCCCTGCCTTTGGAAGTGAGCAGGAGGGAGCAAGGGGGAGGTCATCTCTCCCCAGCAAAGCAGGGCTGTGAAGAGAAGGGTATAAACAGAGAGGGCTGGGCCCGTTTGAAGTCTTTACTGCGCTGCATGAGATATTTGAAATTCAGGCAAAAGGCTATGTTGGTAGTAAATTTGGAGGGTCGAGGAGCAAGGGCCCAAGTAAAAACTGGACTGCACAGCTGGGGAAGGCAGAAGGACTGTGCCTGCTGTTGGGACGGCAGGCTGGCACTTGCAGGTTGGTGCAGGACCAGGATGGAGTGAATTTCTGGTTTGTGGACATTTTCACAGAAGGCTGTTTCTACACACCACTGTTTCTAAAGGGTTTTTTCCCCCTTTTTTAGTTTTTCTTTTTTTTTTTTCCCTTTCATTTAGGGGGTGGTGTGGGTCATACAGGAAATTTCATTTGAGTACAATGAAAGGAGCCCACAGACTTGTTGTTAAAATGGGTGAGAGAGATGTAGAAGTTAAAAAATCACTCCCCTGTACTGGCTTTCATCAAGCCAGTGATAAATGGGTCTTGCATTCCTACTGGGCCAGGTTTGAAACCAACAGCTCAGCGGTGAGGGCAGGGAAAGAAAAGCCAGCTAAGCAAAACAGTGCAGCTGACACCCTCAGAGAGGCTCAGCTATTTACTGCTTTTCTGTTATTTGTGTACAGACACCTAAAAGTAACCGCTGCAGATGCCCTGCTTCATTTTCTTCTATTGAATGTATTACTAAGAACTGGAAGGGGTGGGGAAAAAAAGTTGCTCTCTTCTCATTTGAAGCTGGATCATCTTAGCACTTCAATCCATTGCATCCTTCCCCTTTCCTTTCTCCTCGCAGCAATATCCGTTGCTTCAAGATCGACCAGCCCTCGGCCGGTGATGCTTCGGGAGCGCCGGCGGTGTGGAGTCACGGTTACACGGAAGCCTCGGGCGTCAAGAACAAGTACGACCTGGCGTGGGTTATATCGTAGGAGCATCCGAGCAGCGTAGCGCCTCTGCTCTGATACAAAGAAACCCTTCTTCCAGTGAAAGTTTTGGGGGCGTTTTGGGCCTCACGGAGGTAGAGGCCATGCCATGACTCTCTGTTTGTATACTGGGCCCCTGCCTGGCTCCCCGCTTCGGTCTTTGTTAGGGAAGTTGCTAAGATACAAGTGTAGCCGACAGGTTTTGTCTGTGCAAGACTCTGTACTTGCAAAATCTCTGCGTGTTTAAAAGCATTTTCCTCTTTGCAAAAGCTGCTTTATCTTCCACCAAAGGATGTTTACCAAGCAAATCGGAGATACTAAAGGAAGAGGCAGAATGGCCAAAACTCTGAATATTCATAGTGTGCAGAGCTCCTGTGACTAAGGCAGCACTTGACAAATAAAGTGCCGAGAGCCTGCTAGTCTCTGCGTTGCTGGCAATGTGATGAGTCTTTCTTTGTTCCTTAAATACCTTTTTAGAAATCTTCTGCTACCTAGGTTTCCATAGCAAGTGCCAGCAGGCCTCTGCTTACTGTTAACTGATGGAAGGCGCAGCTTGGTCATCAGCGTGTTAAATCACAAGGATGGCTTTTGGAGGAGCGAGTGCACTTTAAACTGATGTTGCTTCAGAGATACTTTCCCCCCCTTTCTATAAATAAGGGACTTGTTCATGTGCTGAAAAGGAGGAAGAATCCTTAGGGCTTGGCTTGAACTTCCAGTATAGTTCTCTCCCCATCTGAGTGCTGTTGATGGGCCTGAGACTTCTCCACACCCCACAAAGCAATCCCGAAATGCCTGTGAACTAGCTGTCAGACTGGGCTGCATCGTGCTGGTCAGAATGCCAAGGTGAGAAACTAGCAGTGGGTAACGACCTCGGTGTTCTCTTCTTCTGCTTTTTCACTAGGCTGTGTGTGGCAGCGCTCTCGGCCAATAACTTCTGTGACAACCGGGAGGCGCTTTACGGTGTTTTTGATGGCGACCGCAACGTGGAGGTGCCGTATCTGCTGCAGTGCACCATGAGCGACATCTTAGCGGAAGAGCTGCAGAAAACAAAAAATGAGGAGGAATACATGATCAACACTTTCACTGTTATGCAGAGGTGAGTCTTGGATCTGAAGCCTTTTTACCTTGCTGTGTGCTCCCTGGGCAGTTTGTTTGCTTTTGAGTCAGGCGCCTGCTCTTCTTGCTTCAAAAAAATGCGAGAGAGGGGGAAAAGGCCTTGATATCTGGCTACGGTGTTTGCTATTATTATTTTGTGAACATCGCGCTCTGTTCTTTTCAGGTATGGGGAGAAAAACCCCAAGGTCTCCCACCCAAACGAGAAAAAACCCCACCACCTGCAGAGTTATGCAATGCTCATGACTTAGTGGTGGGCGGAGGTTCACTCTTTTCTGGTACCTTCTTTAAGTCTTAACGATGCACATCGGCCGTAACCGTGTCCGTAGTATGGATCTCCTGATCATCTTTTAAACCCCTTTACTACTACTGGCTGCAAAGCCTGGACCGATCCTTTCTGTTTCTCTGTACCAATTCAGGTTATTTAAGGCTACCCAAATACTTAAAATATTTAGTCTGACTCCTTAAAAACATCTACCTCCTGTCATCCCTTTGGCCTTAGAATATGATTGGAGCAGGACCCATCCAAAGGGATGGCGGAGCGATAGCTATGAGTGTAGTAGTAGCTCTGTGTAGCGGTTTGGAAACCTGCGTGCAGGCTGTTCTTGACAGGAGAAAAGAAATTGTGCCCGGGGAGACAGCGAGGGAAGGAGGAGTACGAAGGGAATTGAACAAAGGAGAACGAAGAGGTCAGGGAAACAAAGGGGAAAGCAAATAAGCAGCTTAGAGACTAAGGAAATGGATCGAGTTAAAAGCAGTGTTGCGGATGATCGTTCGATTGCTGCACCATTGGAAAGGCAAAATACTCAGGTTCTGGTATCTGGGAAGGAGACGGAAGCAGTAGGGTGGGTATCGAACCTTACAAACGCAACAGAGAGAACATTTCCTGCCCACAAATGCTTGTAACAGCGCCTCAGGCCAGGAGCTGAGAAGGTGGTTGCCATATACTTAAAATACACAAAAATAATAACAAATCTGAGTATCGAAAGTACTTAAGAGGTTTTGTTTACTACTAATGCAATTTCACAGGAACGTGGCATTCCTACAAAAAGCTGCCTTTTATTTTTTTCTTTTGGTCTCGAGTCAAACTAAGCCAACTGCTTCTTTGCCGAACTGGAAAAGGTCTTCATTCCACTTGCATTTAACCATTTGCCGAGGAGCATTACAGACGGTACGCGGCGCTCCTGAAGCACGTTCTTAAAAAGGAAAATAACAAAGGGCGCTGAAGCGTCGTTACAATCTTCATTGTGCCTTCTCTCCCCAGATTTTTCAGTCAGAAGTTCTTGCCAGCTGTACCTGGCCTTAATATAAATTTCAGGAACCCCTATAATTACCTTTCTAATTACTGTCATTCCTAATTACTACAGGAGAATGCCCTGATAAACAAGACACTTGGAAGGATGGATGTTGTTTCGCAATCAAGTACTGACAGGAACTTAGATTCTAGTGACAGGGTTCTGAAAACCTCAGTTTTATTCATACTTTTGTCTCTGACTCCTGCTAAAACAGCAGCCTCCTATGTATGTAAGAACCTATTCAACAGGTTAGCAACTGGCAGGGTAAATGAAAAGTGTGCCTTCTGACAGTGGAGTTAAGAGCCACTGTGCGTTTTGGTCATCATGTGATGCTTTAAAAGCATTATTCTGAAGGCATCGCAAAATAGGGGATCTCTGCCCTTCTCTTTTTGCTCAAAATAGAGTTTTTACAGTTAAAATCAGTATTTTTATAGCAAAATCTGTAGCTTCAGAAGCCAAAGAACCAGCTGTATAATATGAAGCCCCTTTTTAAGCTCTACCTGTACTCATTTAATAGTCCTCCGTACTTTTCTAACCCTCTGTTTCCCTCAATCTGACCTTTAAACAAATGCCCTTAAGCTGCGGAGGAAGACACAGCTGTGCACCTTGTAAAAGCACAAAGATTCTTTGGTTTGTTGTGCTCTCAAATGGAGCAGATTTGAGTATCTGCATACGTGTAAATAGCACACTGCCTGGAAGCTGCACGTGCTTTCTCTGCAGCGCTGCCGTCGTGTCACAGCCTTCCGCGGAGATTTCTGTTTCTGTCCCAGGGATCCAACAGTCAGTGCCTGTGGCTGCAGAACAGCGGCTGTTTCTCAGTCGTACCCGTAATGCTTGTTTTCCAATTAAGGAACAATCATCGTTTTGTTTAAATTCCAGGAAACTTGGAACAGCTGGACAGAAACTTGGAGGCTCTGCTGTCCTTTGCCATATAAAACACGATCCCATGGACCCTGGTGGATGCTTCACGCTGACCTCAGCAAACGTGGGGAAGTGCCAAACCGTTCTCTGCCGGAATGGGAAACCTCTGCCTTTGTCCAGGTGTTACGCGATGAGCTGTGAAGAAGAGCTGAAGAGGATTAAGCAGCACAAGGCCATTATCACGGAGGTTAGAGAACAGTTAGGGACTGTTGCAACTTGCTGCTGCCTTGGAGAGTGTTTGCACAGCGGTGCGTGGAATTCCATGCCAATAGTAGTAACCTCAAAGAGGTAGCGCTCATGGTATGGTTCCAGGGTTGCACTTTTCCTTTCAGGGTGATTCATAGCATGCGGTCGAGTTGCTTTTCCCTCCCATTGCCATGCTGGATGTTGGTTAGCTTCGGAGTGAGCAGCTGGGAGTGTGTTGGCCTTGAAACAGGAGAGCAGGCACCCTCCTCCTAATGGGGTGAGGATTGGCCGTGCTGGAGCTGTCAGGAAGAACCTCTCCAATGGAAAAGGATGAGAGGGCAGAGCACTTGGAGCAATGCCGTCCTTCCCTTAGGAGACTCCTTGCTCCTGGCAGACTGACTTTGCTGTCTGAGCTCCAGCATTCGCAGAGTTGCCCTTTGACAGGTGGCTCTGGAAGAGAGCACTTGCCCGAAAGAAAAACCCATCCTGGGCTCAGCTGAACCACGAGAGAGGAGAAGACTCTTTGTTCCCTTCGTACAAGCTTGAAGCCACCGCTGTCAGTTTCGCTTTGCCTTGTGCGACGCGCGCGCAGGGACAGATAAACACCGAATCCTCCTAATGGCAGAGGAAAGGGCCCGTGAGCAGGGGGTGCGCGTGTGTGTAGGGGGGTGCACGTGGGGGTGTGGAGTAAGTCACGTGCCTGTCGACCTTGCCAGGGAAAGGTGACGACTGGGATCTCAAACGTGGTAGGTTGGAAGGGAGTCGCTCCAACGTAGCATGCATCACCGCGGCACGCTCGCCGTGTTGTTCCGTAGAGGGAAAGGGACAGTTCTGCGCTGCATCTCAGGATGACTCACTGATTTTGTGCACGTTTGATGGCTTATCACTGCTGTCAGCCTTCTAATGGGGAAGTTAACAAGCCGACAAGGTTTTTGTTTTTTGTTTTTTTTTTTTTAACTGAGTGTTTTTGAAGGGGAAGCTTTTTTTTTAGTCTTGGTTCGCTTTCCTGTGGTTATCTGCTTTATAATAACCACTGCAGCCATCAGCTGGACCAAATGCGTGTAAATCCTCACCCTTGTTGTTCTCGAACACACAATTAGCAGGGTGCAGCTCTCCCCAGCAGGCTGACAGATAGCCAGGCTTGCTGTTTCAGACACTTGCTCTGCTGTTCTGGCATCTTGGATTCTAACCAGGATTTGGACGTGGCTGGGATTTACTTCTCAAATCCATCCATTTTTACTGATGTTTTTCTCTGTAGATATTACTCCTCCTCCCCCTGGAAATGTCGTATCTAAGTGGAAGCGTAATAAGTAATTGGGGCATGTAAAACCATCTCACTACAACTCAGCTGGCTGAGAAATGCAGACTTGCTCTCTGCTGCGTTTGCCTTGCACGCTTCCTTTACAGTCTTGTTTTGTTTTTTTGAAATGAACTTTGGTTTCCAAAGTGATGAGCCAAGACGAAACCAACGATTGTTACAGCTGCAAGCGAAGAGCCCTAACTGAATGACCTGCCCCTGCATCAAGCGGGGCTGTGTGTGGCTTCGCCCTGCGTACAGCCAGATACCGTGGGCGGAGGAGGGATAAGTCTGACTCACTGGTAAAACATTAGTCCAGTTGGCTCTCGCAGCTGCAGGAGCGGAATAGATGGCTCTTTGTTGCAGACTTCTGCTTTGTTGGCCTGTGCATAGGTGATGCTGATGACACATCGGCAGGGTGCGGGAGGCGTAGCGCAGCATTGCAAACCAGCCATTGCTGTGCTCTCATCCCAGCTCTGTCACCTCCTTGCAGGTCGCTCCGCTTTTCCAACTTCGTGTCTGTAAATGTGGCAGCGTTAGGGGTACAGCAAAGATGGCCATCGGGAGACACGGGTGCTGTGCGTCTCTCTCTGCTCCGTTTCCAATTTCCTGTCCTTTCTCATTACAGGACGGCAAAGTGAATGGTGTGACGGATTCAACAAGAATCTTGGGTTACACCTTCCTTCACCCAAGCGTTGTGCCGCGTCCTCACGTCCAATCCATCACCTTAACCCCGCAAGATGAGTTCTTCATTCTGGGAAGCAAGGGGCTGTGGGACAGCCTCTCGATGGATGAAGCAGTGGAGGCAGTCAGGAACGTGCCCGACGCGTTGGCAGCCGCGAAGAAGCTTTGCACTTTGGCCCAGAGTTACGGCTGCAACGACAGCATCAGCGCTGTCGTGGTTCAGCTCAACGTGACGGAGGACAGCTTCTGCTGCTGTGAACTTAATGGGGTCCCACCCCCCAGCCCAGGCATTTTCCCCCAGTCTGTCAACGTGGTCATCAAGGACAGGCCGACGGATGCGCTCGGGATGCCATCTTCGAGCAGCGGCATGGCTTCGGAGATCAGCAGCGAGATCTCCACCTCCGAAATGAGCAGTGAGGTCGGCTCCACGGGCTCTGACGAGCCGCCCCCGGTAACAGCCCGGCCTACCCGGGGGAGCAGCGCTGCATGCTCCACCCCATCTGCCTGTCCAATTCTTTCCAACGGCAGCTCTCCAGCGCCACCTTCTCCAGCGCCTTCTCCGACAACGGCCTTGACAGCGATGACGAGGAGCCGATCGAGGGGGTGTTCACCAATGGCAGCCGCGTGGAAGTGGAGGTGGACATCCACTGCAGCCGAGTGAAGGAGAAGCAGCTTCTCCACGTGCCGGTGGAAGCCAGCGACGAAGGTATCGTCATCAGTGCCAACGAAGACGAGACCGGCCTTCCCAGGAAAGCTGAATATTCTGCCACGGGCACAATCGGGCGCCGGCGGGGCAATGGTTCCGTGGCGCCACACGAGAGGAGCCATAACTTAATTGAAGTTGCGACGGATGCACCGCTCAGAAAAACGGGGGGCTACTTTGCTGCTCCAGCGCAGCCCGATCCCGACGACCAGTTCATCATCCCACCAGAGCTGGAAGAAGAAGTCAAGGAGATTATGAAGCAGCACCAGGAACAACAACAGCAGCAGCAGCAGCGGCAGTACCCGATGGACCACCTGGCAGACTATTACGACACACCGCTATGACCCACTCTATTTACTGCTCAGAAATGAGCTAGCTAACGTGGAGACTTGAGTGTGGGACCCAGTGGGCTCGCATTACAGCAGGGGTTTTCCTTATCCTTTTCCTTTATATACTTCCTTTTCCTTATCCTGCCACTACAGATAACTGCAGCTTTTCAGTTTGTTAGGTTTAATATTCATTGACTTTCTTCTAGAGACGCTTGACCGGTAAAGTTTAAAATAGTTAACCTTCCCTTAACATATCAAGTGTAAAAACAAACAAAAACAAACAAACAAAAAATCTAAAGAAATAATAAAAAGGTTTAATATATTGCTGAGAAACAGATGATGATGTAATATTTTTTAAAAAGGCTTGTTTGTTTTGTTTGAAAAGCAGGGCAGTAGCCAGTGCTAAATGATTTAAGTAATATTGTAATACTGTATTTCTTCGAGAGAAAAGGCTTTTTTTGGTCTTGAAAATGATAGACATTTGTAGAATATGGAGACTAACTCCTAGGAGTTGCTTTTACTCTTTCAGGTGACTTAAGTCACTGAGATTCACTAATTTTCTCTGAGAGAACAGTTGATTGGGGAATTCCTGTAAATAGCTCAGTGTTGTATAGTGACGCTTCCATGTTTTGTAGCCTTGGCATTAAGGACACAACCCGAAAAATCGATCCGTTTTTTTCTTAAGCGACTCTCTGGGCCATCCGTGGTCGCCGAGCGTAGCGGACCGAGCGGCTGCGTACGAGGTAGCAGGAGCCGAGGTGGCGTTAGGCCGTTTAAAGCAACCCACTTTTTCCTCCAGCCTCTTTCTTTCCTTGCTTTCACAGACACGTTTCGTTTGTGTTCCTTACTGCTGCCACAACCAGCATGATTGTATAGAGCTCATTTCCTGTAGGACATTTACATACCGAGAGTTATATTAAAGCCGAATGCACAGATGAACATGTCATAATTTTTGTTATAATAAATATGAAATTTACACCCGATGTCTGCTTTCCTGCCCGAATAGCTGAGCGCCGGCGCTTTTCCTCCTTGCGGTGGTCCCTCAGCGTGTTCGGCTCCATCACGTTTATACAGTAACGGCAGAAGCTCACGTGTCCTTTTAGAATTTAAAGGCCATGCAAAATGGCCTTTAAAAGATACGACACAACTCTCTGAAGAATTGACCTGTTCCTTCTTTCTTTCTGGCTGCTAATTCAGCACTGCTGATTGGTTCTTTGCCACAACATTGATAAGGCCAGAAGACCGAAGAGGAGCGGTGCTCCGGCTCTGTCCCACTGGGCCTGAGTAACTGAAGATAGAAAGAGATGATGAAGGGATAAGGCGGGCTAAGAAAAGGGAGAAAGAAAACACTGGATACGGAGAGAAGAGGGGGAAAACAGGAGAAGGTGAGAAAGTGAAGTCAAAGCTCCTCAGGTAAATTCAGATTTGCTGGGATGTGTCGAGTGAACACGAGTTCAATGGCAGTTTGACTTTGGTAGCAAAAGGGCGGTTTTGGTTATTCCTGTGGGAAAGGAGCAGCACCCTTTTTCAATATTGCCTCCAACCAACTGCTACTTCACGGGGTCATAGAATGGTTTGGTTTGGAAGGGACCTTAAAGATCATCTTGTCGCTCTTCAGAAAGCTGGATTAGTGTGTGATCGTGACAGTGTCTTGCTCCTGCTTGACATTTGGTCTGTATCGTGGGAGAGGCCTGCGGTAAGAGGCTCTTGTCCTTACTCTGCTGTAGGGTGAGATAGCCAAGTTGGGGCAGGATTGCTGTTAATGAGATTTTGAGCTGCTTTTCTTTAAATGAGAGTATCAGCAGAGGAGAAACACGACAACGCCTGGTTTGTAACGTGTTCGTGGCGCTGCCTACTGCAGATCTAGAATGCTGTACTTTATTGTAATTTGAGCTTCAAAAATGCCTCTTTCTTAAAGCAAACTTATTAAATAACGTATTTAAAAAACCAGAAAGTTTATGGTTTATTAGCTAGTAACCCTTAGGTGTTCTTTGGTAAGCGGTTTGTATACTCCAGATTTTGTTAAATGATTAATTTTCCTTGGTGTCCTCAGAAAGTATTTTTTCCCGTTTTGTTCGGATGTTGCTTCAGGCTGAAGGTGATGACTAGCGAGGACAAATGATTAGAAGTTTGGGGTTTCCTGAGCAAGCTGGAAAATTCTCTGTGCCTTAAAAAAAAAAAGGCAATTCTCTTCCACGTAGCACCCGCTGCCAGCAGAGGAGTCGCCTTGCTGCCGCCGTCTGCTGTCTCTGTCCGTGATCGGGCGCCCCCCGTATACCGTACATGTGGTACTCCAAAGAGGGGAGCAGAGGTCAGAGTAGGGACAGAAGAGGAACCGTTTCATATGAGCTAAACCTCAGCCCAGCACTGAGACCCTGCTGTACCCTTTTCTCGTGGGAGTAGGAGTACTGCACGCAGGCTGCATAAAGATCTTCCCTTCTTTTAAGGGACAAACTCCAAGAACCCGCCAGCCCTCGTGGCATTGGCAGCTTACGGGCAGTTGGTGCGGTTTCTCTGCTTGTGCCCTTACCTTGACCTAGGTGGTCAAAAGTGACAGCCCGCCAAAGCCCGACGCTTCCAGCGTGGTACCTTTTCCAAAGGTAACAGCTGTATGCTGGGGGTGGGGCTTCTGTAGCATCAAAGCGACAGGGTTTTGGCTGAGGAGCTGTACCTTTGGATTTCTGGGCTGTCTGAAGAAGACATTTGTTGTAGTAGCCCTTTTTAACCGTTCGTGATGTGAAGGATTGATGCGTTCATAGGGGCAACCGTCCCTTTATGGGGCTTTCCGTACCGTGCTGAAGTAGATCCGTAGGCTTGGGCTGGGGGCATCTTTGGAAAGTTTAGCATTTACTTTTAAACAAGGGCAAAGTGTATTATATAAAGGTTGTGGCTTTAAACCGGCACGTGGAAAACAAGGTACAGTTCTTGTAACTCGTGGCTTTTCTGGACACCGCTGTCCCCCTTCACACATGGGGGTCGGTATGTTCTTGCCTCGTGAGGACTGAGGCTGAAGTCCTGGATTTCCTCGAGGCACGTTACTGTCGTACGTGGGTTTATGATTAACGTGCACGGTAGATTTTACACAATTTTGACCTACTGGGAACTGTGTGACTCGAACAGAGAAGTGGATTTGTTTGCAGAACTTGACGGCTGTGGCGGGGGCAAAGGTTGGGGGCTAGGAAGTCAGGCTTTCGACCGGGGAAAACGTAGAGCCACGTTACCTTTGTAATCAAACCGCTCGTGTCCTTTGAAGCTTGCCGACAGCCGTAGCTGAGACGAGCAGAAATGCACGGACAGGAGGAGGTAGATGGCTGGGGGCAGGAAAATGAACATATTCACGTTATTTCCTGGAAGATAATTTTAAATAGGAAGCGATGATGGTATTGCAAAGTCACCGAGTTGCTTATGTGCTTGTAAACGCTAGCCCGTTTTTGTGGCGTAAAGGCCTTTTTCCTCGCTTTCTGCCATAGCGCTCCGACGTAACGCACGTTCTTGGGC